GGATCTGTGTGAAAAGGAAGACTGCATGTGTGTGTGTTTGTACACACACGGCATACGTTTGAAGAATTGGTGTATATGAGGGAGCGTGGGCATATGTGAGGAAAGTGAGGTTCACAAGGAACAGTGCGTTTGACGCATATGGGATAAATATGTTTGAGGGAGTTGTGGGTTTGAGAGAGGAAATGAGGGAGTAGTGGGTTTGAAGGAGGAGTGTGTATAAGAGGATGATGTGCCAGAGAGAGTGTAGGAGTTGAGCATGAAGGAATGATGTGCAGGTATGTATGTTGAAGAGGCAAGAGAGAATGGGGAATGGATGAATGAGGAAGAGGTGTGGACAAGAGAATGATATATGTTTGTGTGAGGAAGTGTTTGTGAGTGGCATATGGATGAAAGAGAGGAGAGATGGGTGTGAGGGAAGGTTATGTAGGAAGGAGGACAGGTATATGAGAGTTGTGTTGTGTGTGAAGGAATGTATCCATGTGCATATATGCAAACTGCTTCTGACTCTCAAGCTGCCAAACTGTACAGCCCTTGGCCAAAAACATTTTTCAACCATGATTGAAACTGAATAGCCTGAGTGACTACGTTACTGTAGTCATAACAGTTAATTAAAAGCATACAAACACGAATGCTCAATGGAAGACTTAATCTGGTTGTATTCAGCACAGAACAGCTGCAGCAAAACGCTTCCAGCAATGTTTGTTATCTAGATGAGGCGTTCTGGAGAACCATGAAAAGGCAACGGCCATGCATGGCATTTGTATTCATGTGCAATGTTTGAACATGGAATCAAGCTGGGGAGAGGCCTGAAATTTGCAGAGTTGGAGCCCAGGATAAAGCTACACAAAAGTGAAGAGGGAGTGGTGCTTTGGGAACAGTGTCAGTCTTGCACTTCCTCATTTCAATGATTTTAAGAGTCAAAAGAGTTAAAAGAACACTTGTGCCCTTAATGATAGTGATAGTTCTGCTCTAGGCTGCACTGGCCAGACTGCACCTGGAATACAGTGTCTGATTTTGGTCACTACAATACAAAAAAAGACAACACAAGTGCTAAGGGGCTTGGAGGCTAGATTTATTAAGAACGTGTAAAAGAACTGAATATGTTTAAAGAAGAAAAAGCTAAGGGGAAAAGCTGATAGGAAAGTTTCACAATGCTGGTAGAAAACTCTCTGGATTATTGCTCCTTGCTTTTGGAAATAAGGTGCACTTTTCCTTAGTAGCTTCCCCAGGTAAAACTCTCATTGTAAAACCTTAATGCACCAATGGGTGTGGAAGGAGTTGTCCACAATTCCCAATGGTCCATTAAATGCGATTGTGTCAATTGCATCATTGGGCAATGATGACAAAAAATTTGGATTAGAAGTCCATTGTATCAAGTTCCAGTAAACTGAGGTTTCACTGTGGCACCAAACTTTGAAACAAATTGTACTCCTCAGTGCATGAATGCTATGATAGCCCAAAAGACCCACAATGAAAACAACAGGAGAGGGGAGAACTGAATTTGGAGGGAAAGTACCATCAGGAAGTTAAGCTGGGGCTTAAATTCTATGGAGTTATGACCAGATGAGCTATAACATCCTATAGATTCTTTCCTAATGTATACAACTGGAATACTTCCACAACCCTTTCCATTCTGAATAAGGTTGATCTTTCATTTGCTGGATAAAATTTTTTGCAATGCACAAGAGAAAACCTTTTTAAAAATTCAAGTGATGTGGTGGATTCTATCCTAGTTTATATTTACAGAATTCTAGGGATAATAATATAAGGAATAATATTTCTGGAATCAGATGTAAAAAAGATGTTGGAAAAGAGGGGGGAGATCAGTTTGTAATTGTGGCAGATTAAACAGCCCAGACACATGTTTTTCTATTTATCTATCCTTGAGACTTTAAATAAAACCTCAGTTTTCTGTTTGAAGAAAAAAAGAGAATCTTATTTATGGAAATAAATCTCTAGCAATATTTGCTGTTCTTATTAGAAAGCAAATGAATTACTTGGTAAATACATACACCTAATACATACTTCGGTCACCTAATGCGAAGAGAGGACTCTTTGGAAAAGACCCTGATGCTGGGAA